TCTCTTGGGAGATAATGGTTAAACTTTGACTATTCGCCGTACATTTTCATTAACATATTCTTGCACACATTATCTTCCTTTCTTCAACACCTCAATGTTGTATTGATAATGCAGTATGATAGGGATATGTCACTGGGAATCAGGTTTGCACATTTGAGCCTATGAGGTCATCCCCGAGGATACGATATCACTTATGGAAATAAGTTCTTAGTATTTAACACAGTCTTCCGAAAAGAGTCAAATAAAGTATTGTTACTGGCATTAAGCATTGACTGTGTCATTACCAATTAAGTTCATTGAACTGCGGGGCAGTATCAGGGCTGAGATAACTTCATTCCTCTGAGTTCTTCTCTCAATCTAAGAGTCTAACTTTTTAGAAAAGTAATAGGGACTCTGAACGAGTTCTTTTTCAAGTGCCAGTTGGTATCTTCTAAGAACACCTTTACAAACAGTTCGGACCTCATCATACTTAAGACAAAAATGGCCGGGACTCATTGTAACAAAGAGGTCTCACAATTTTTTATTTGATCGAGTGCCTTATTAACCTGTCTAGTTATACATGGGGGACAGTTAGTAGATATATGCGACGCTATGCACAATTTTTGTATGCTTATCAATTTACTCCAGAGAGAAAAACAGGCAAAAACAGACAGATAGTCGGACATGCGTATGGATTAACAGACCGGCGGACAGACAGGCGAAATCAGCGTGGAACCTTGCACATAAGTGCATTGGTTCTTGCCATACTTCACAGTGATATACAGAGAACAAGTGGATAGGAGAGACTAATATCAAAGTAAACAAAGGTGTATAGAAGTAGAAAAAGTTTGAAGATAAAGGCTGAGAAAAATACTCAAGTTTTCGAAGGTATCAAAGAGTAAATACATCTGTGCCACTGTGACCAATATTCAGTCATGTCATCAGGAGTCCTCAAGCACTGATTCCTATCGTCTTGGAGACTCCAGCCAGGTTGTCTGTACTTCACTACATGCCTCAGACCAACAGTCAGAGACTTCATAAACCGATCCCAAGTCTCGATCAGGCCACTGTGAGTCTTCTTCCAACGTAGTTCAACTTCTTCTAGTGTGGAACATCGAGGAAGGCAGTGATTTGGAGAGTGCAACATATATCCAAGCCATCTCAATCTCGGAAGCTTCACAACTTCATCAACCAACTGTCCTTCCTTTTCTAGTACCTCTCGCCTAACCTCTGCGTTGCTCATATGATGATTCCACCAAACCCGTGCAACGCTACGGAGACATCTGTGATTAAAACCTTGTGACCGCTTCATGTCTTCCACTTTCAACAACCATGTATTAGCCGTACACAAGTACGAAACCGTCTACGGCGCGCTCTACTCGTCCTTTGACAGATAGTTGGATATCTCGCCAGTTGGCCCCTTAGATGACGCTAGTTGGCAAGTGCCACAGGTCATTAATAGACTAGATTACATCAACTAACCAATTCACTAAAAAGGGACATTCTTGTAGGAAATTCCCTACGAAGACATACTAATAGTTGATGCAGTTATACATCTCTTGTTCATATGAAATGAAAAATAGATATCACACACTGCAGTTTCTATCTTATTTCACTATGTATTAAAGTACTGAAGGAGTGCTTTTAAAAGCTTTTTCGCACGAAGGTGAAAATTCGAACATGTAAAGGCTATGTTTAAAAGCACCATAGAAAGTAACCATGGGAAGACAGTGACAATTTACTACACTTGTCTGCAACAGGAAGGTCACAATGGCATACCTTGAAGTGGCTTTTATCAACCAAATTAGTTTTACTACGTAAGTTGGAAGCTTGTGAGAGTTCCACTAACCTTCTTTTACTCCTCATGTCCATCTTTCACACTTTAATATCTCTCGGTTTTTATTCGGTTTCAATTTCTTTGTTTTTCTTTGATTTTCAGTAACTTTTACTAATGTATGGTTTTGGGAGTTTCAGAATTCTCTTATCTGTTTGAAATTTTATTCTGAATTTTTGAAAAATCTATATTTATATCTGCACTGTGTTTACTATGTCTCCTTAGTTGGTTTTAATAATTTACGTGATATGTCTTAAAGTTGAAGGGAGTACTTATCTGTGTAAATATTATTAGTATAGTCGTTGCTAACTCCAGAAAACAACCTCACGTGTATGAATATTGACAGTAAGATTTCATTTACTTACATTTGTTAGGCTATTTTTCTACGGAGTACTAAATGCATTATTACAATGCATTTTCTGTATCATTTTCATTACAAATGAAATGCACAAGTAAACGTGGTTGTCAATCCAAGCCTCATTTACCAATCCATACATAATGACCAAATCAAATAAAGTTGAGGAATAGAAAAATTGGTTGATTGGTTTGCAGTCATTCATTAGTCCATTTTTTATATCATCTTTCTTTCCACTTTTTTTTTGACAATCTCGCTTCTGATCTGCATAATAATAAGTTCACATGAATCGTCATTACTGCATATTGCTGTCAAGGAAACTGAGCTGGTGATTTATATTTACTTCCTAAGAATGATTGCACATAACTTTGGATTGACATATTTCAAGATTCTGTTCTTGTTCTATGAAACTCTTGCTAGAAGAAAGTCCCTTTCAAGTCTGTAAGTAGTCTAATTGTAGCTTTCAATAATAAAGTCTAAGCATTCAGTTTTATTTATCTACATCTGTTGTTGAAGCGGAACTTCATCTAGACTGATTAACTGCAGTGAAATAAAACTGTCGAATTTTCTTCTTTACCTTAGGTGATCAGGTTTGTTTTTTAATGCCTGTTTAAGAAAATAGGCAGTTTCACATTTCTGTAGATTTCTTATAAAGCACCTCTAGAAGATTATTAAATTATGTTTGTGTGTTTGATATATCGTTATCTTGTTGCCTAATTTTGAAGGTCGTGCATGCCATAAAATACTTCACAGTATTTGGTAGGAAAATTGTAGAAACACCGACAGAATCTTATCCAACCTAAACTTGTTTTGTGTACAGATTTAGAATATGTGATCAGCAAAGTAAATATCTGAGGTTGCCTGTTACTCTACTGCATTCTTTCAAAACAGTAGTTAACATGATATTTGTAAGATATAACTGCGATGAGATGAGATTGCTTTACTTATTATTTCGTGATTGCTCACACTAAAGTGAAAACAATGTTCTAGCACTTTCTGGATTATTCTGTTTTGAATCATTCGCAGTTATATTTCCCTCCTTGTCTGAACTGTATTGAATGTTTGTAACTCAGTAATTAACTAATGCGGCTGTACCCTCCAAAGTTTCATGTATTACGCTTATGATACTGCCTATCTGAGTTTGAATCTAGGATTCATTATCTGAAAGTTGGATGATAAAGTTAACAAGCCATGTCTCTACAATATCGTCTGGAAATAGTAATGAAAACGACTTTGGGACTATATGTAAATCATTAGCGTATCTTTTGGTTTGTATTTTTCGGATAAAGCCTTAGGCCATTCAAATATGCATGTAACACAATGGGAGTTTTTGAATATGAATGAGATAAAAGAAGCAATAATAATGGCCCCTAACTTCACCAATCGATAACAGTGACTAACATTCATATGTAGTGTAGCTGAAGCAGTTCAAGAATACCAACCGCTTTCTACATTTCTAAACAGTTCCCCACTGTAGTTGTGTATTTAGTCATTGACAAATAGCTCTTTCGAAATTCATGTTGTTTATACCTAGTGAACCCATATTCAGTAGCAAAAAGTTAAAAATATAAAAATGGATAGAAAAGTAGTTATTACTCAGTCTCTTTTAAGTAGGAGATTCTTACTCCTAAAAATGTTTGCTGCTTAAGGTATGAAAATTATTAGCCATCAGTTGATACGATAACAAGGTAAAGTGGGTGTTGTGTTGATTAGAAAGAGATTAGTGATGCTTTAGCTTCTAGATAAAGTCTTTATGGACTCTGGTCTACCTTACTTGATGTTTCGTACGATGAGATCATAAACACTGAGCTAGAGTGTAGAATAAAAGTTCCGTAGTTTGCAGCCATTATTAATAAAAATGCTACAAAGAAGCAAATGAGTATAAAAAGTGAAAAAAAGAATGTCCAACAACAGAAATAAATACTAGTAGGTTTTTTAGAAATTTGCAATTGACAATAAGTGAATACACTTGCACCAAAGTGGATAGTTCTCAGTCTTTTTATACGGAATTCTTAACTTTGAACATATAAGATCTTGACAACATCACCCGAGTTGCCTTCGCTGTTGTACACAGCTCACAATGTCAGTCAATGACTAACCTATATTATATTTGTCTTTTGGCTTTGATGATACCGAATATTATATTATAGCCTAGTTTTCCACTTGAACCAACTAAAGTTAATATAGATCCAATTTAACTTGTGTCTTGAGAAAATAGTTCTCCATCTTTCACTACCTCGGTAAGATGCATAGTTAGTTCCCCTTTTAGTTACTTGATTTTACTGAGTATTCGGATCACAATTTACTTTATCTGATAATCTCTTTTTACTCATTCCAACACAACTATTCTTATTAAGATGATTGTTATTATTATTGTTTTTTTCAACTTTCTTTATTGTTTCATTATTCTGACTTAAAAAAATTCAAATGACTTCGCATAAGAATCAACCAAACTTTACTTCTCAAAAGTTTGAGCTTTATCTTATTTACTTCAGGATACTGGTCACCTCATGTTATGAACAATCAACCTTCATTAACCCTTAATAGTGGTCATTCATTTATCTTCTCTTTTCGTACAACTCAACCCACATTGCTTTCATTCTCTTGCTACTCACTTCCTCGTCGTGTGTAGTTGTAAGCTGTGGTGATTTGAACGATCACACTTATAGAAAAGATTCTAAGTTGACTTGCTTTTGTGTTACTGAAAAGAAACCGTTTCATAATATCTCGAACATTGGACATTCTTTAACGTCAATATTTTATGCTTCTGTTCTCTGCTGTCAAATTTATCGAATAAACTTTCTGATAGTTCTTTGTGATTGAAGGTGACATGAAAAACTGCGTCACGGTAGGATTCGAATGAGCAATATCTTAGTTTTCTACCAGGTGCTCTACCAACAGAGCTAAGAGACCCAGAAGCAGATTGCATCTTAATTTCACTTCAAATACTGAGGACTTTGCCCAACTACCATATGAATTCGTGGCGCGTTACAATTCATTCATCGTATACACAATGGCTGCCCAACCGAAAACCCGGAAGTTGCTGGTTCAAATCAGTCGCTGCCCAGATTTTTGTTCCACCTTCAATCATCACCCAGTACCGATAAGTTTATTGGTATTCTAAATGTGAAAGGTTTGTGTCTGAGTGTTTGCAGTATGAACCTTGTGAGCATCTGGTGAGGAGTTAAGAAATACGATTAATTTATCTCACTCTGTGAATATCATGTAGCTTAAATCGTTGAATTACATTTCTTAATGGATTTTAAATGAGGTAATCTTTTCATTTGTTGTCTTGTCTTAATAATTCTTAGAAGTGGTGTAGGTAACCTTCTAAACCATTCAATGATTAATCTAAAGAAAGCAGCAGTTCACCTGTAAATGATCAATCAAAATCTACTGGAAAACTTTATCAGTAATTTTCAAACAAAACTAAAGGAGATATACAGGTAAAGTCAAGATTATTTTGGTTAATTCTAGCATAGAAATTGTGATACACATCGTCTCACCGAATATAATGCAGCTGTGAAAATTCAAGCGTGGTTTCGTGGTATCAGAACGCGGTGTTACTTAAAGTAAGTTATGAGTAGTCAGTGTTGTGTTGTTTAGTCCTTTGTCCTGACCGAATTTTATTTATCCAGTTTTCTATGTGATCACCAGGCTAGGCGATTCTCCTTGTGGTCATAATTTAGAATTATAAAATTTGATAATGGTTACTCTTAAGTGACAGGGAGGTTTGTCCAAGTAAATTTTCTAGACACTAAGTCGCTTTTGGAGTAGCTCAGTAATGACTCCCCTGACTGTGACACTGGGTGGTGTGAGTTCAGACTTTCGAAAAGGCATCAGTTCACGTTAGGGAGCAGATATACGACACTGGCAAGTGTCAAGAAGCATGAAATTATGGTTCACAACATCGTACTAATTGCGATAAACGTAGTTAGTTTGTATCTGAGTGAATTATTCATACTGTATATGAAAATGTGTATGATAGGTGACACAGACTTACAAAAACCATGAGCAGCTGTGCATAGATTTGATGTAGCATAGTTTTAGGCGACATAGCAAGATAGGACTGTTTTCAGAAGACATAAGTTTGGAAGATTTACTAGGATACTGAAAATTTTGAGATAATTATGTGAATGATTAAATGATATATCAAAAACTTGATTTCTATTATCCGAGGACCTTAGAGATACAGTATGAAGCTTCAAACATGGCTCAGACTATCAGTCAAAGATTTCATAAACTAGTGTCACGTCTTGCTTTGACCACCCTTAGCCTTTTCGCACTCTAATCATACTTTGGCTAATGTTGTACATCGAAATAGCTAGTGGCTCAGCATGTAGAACACATCTAAGTTACCTTAAACACATCACAGTAACGATAAAGTTTACGTAGTTCGGCAAATACAGAACAGACCTTTCATATTGGAGCTACAATTTCGCTAGCAATCATCTGATTCTGACTGACATAACTCACCCCGTACTGTACCACTTTCCCAACTATCTTTAAACTAGGAGTTAGTGCATATCAGTCCTAGAGCATCATATTACAAATAACAAGTGAGAAAAGCATGCCAAAAGTACTCGGTTTCTAATCAAGATGTTCAGAAGATTATATTTTGTCAGCTTCTTTGCCCAACGGGGCTCTGTAGTCTGAGAACTTAAGAAATAAAAACTCTAGAAATGATAATTAGTAAGCTACGAAAAATCAATTAACCCTTACCACTAGTTATCTACATGTTGTCAGAATCAATATGGAATTTGGTATTTCTATACCGTGGTTCCATTTGCATACCTTAATTCGGTATATCAAGATACACGATGAAAGATGGTGAGGTACATAAAATGAGATATAAATTTGTCAAGGGCGTTAAGAACAGAAGACAAACAGTAGAAGAATATCGAATTTGATGCAACAGTTCAGACGTATATGGGACGTGGATGTGTCTCGAAGACTAGTAGATCAGGAGCCCTAGAACCTGAAGTCTGCAAGCATCCATTTCGATTGTCACATGAATACCAACAGAAACCTTCACACTTCTACACACAACCCAGGCCAACAATTTGACACTTCGCGAACTGATGCAATGGTTTTGGTGTAATCATTCTCTACTTGGGTGTCTTGAACATGTACTACGCATGTGCACATGCAATTCTAGCAAAGGTTGGATCAGGTTAGAAGAAAGCTCTGTGTGGCTAAAGCATGACGTGGCAGCAGTCCATGAAGTCCTTGACCATTGGTCTAAGCCGTACGGAGAGATTTAAACTGTCTGGCTGAGGTCCTGGAGATAATAGGAATCGGTGGTTGATGACATTAGGACATGACTGAAAATCGGTCACAGTGTGCAGAGATGTATTCAGTCTTTAGCATCTTCTAAAGCTTGAATATTTGCCCTGACATTTGTCTTTAAACTGGTTATTCTCTCAAACTCACTTGTCTATTTTAATATTAGTCTTCTAGTATCCTCTTGTTCATTTTATGCTACTGTGAAGTATGGAAACTTGAATCGGTGCACTTCTGTGAAAGGTTCTACCTTGATTTTTGCTATCTGTTTACCTTTACCACCAACGTCCATTCCTAGGAGTTAGTCAGTCCCTTAAAGATTAGATGTACCCAGAATTATTTCCAATAGCACTTCTACAACAGTTTAAGTGAAACCATGATAGCGGATATCCTTGGTGAATATCACAAGCTGTTGCAAATTTAAATGACAACTTTTTATAAGCCGTTATATGGCTGCATGAGCTTGATTAGAGATGGTTGACTAGTATTATATATTGATTTGATACTCTTTACACAGTTATACAGCACCACAACACTTTTTGATAAACGAAATCGTATGCTTCCTCCAAGTTACGAAATATGGCATGTATTGGAAACGTGTAAGTGTACCTGTTATAAGATCTGATTAAAAGTGCTGACCTAATCATGGACCACCATCTGGGTCTGAAAACTGTCTAGTTAGTTTCCTTTTGTTGTTCTCAAGTTACGATTAGGCATCGAATAACTATGAACCCTATGATACTGGTTAAGCTGACTTCTCTATACTTATCACACTCAGATGTCTTTTAAAAACATTCGTCGGCGAACCATCAAGTCCTACTACTTTGCATCGTTTCAAGTTTAAAATAGCCTTCTCAACTTCGAGGAGAGTTAGAGAACCAAAATCTAAATCCCATTCAGTCTGGGGCTGTTTGGTGAACAGCTGAAACTTTGCCGTGAGCCAGTAGAAATCTGCTTCAAGGTGTTATACCCAACTTTTTGGACGTCTATCCTGAGAGGTTTTTAAGGTCCTATCCTTTTACGAGGACCTCACTAAACGTTTTTGTCTTCTTATCAATATTCTTGACAAGCGTAAATGATTGCAGAGTATTAACCAACGCTTGCGCCTTCTCTATTTCTTTCGCTTTTCTCATCCTTCATTTTGCACAACCATTGTGAAAACTCCTCGTCAGTTTACGTATTCGCTTCTTCCGCTCCTCACCGTGATCAGAGCAAGCCGGAAAGAGTATGCCTGCATTAATCAATTCAGACGATGTTTTGAATATTTACTGGCTTTTGTTAACCTTTCGATGTAGGCTACCGGCTATTTTTACCACTTTTTCTGATGAAGACTGAATATTACGTCAGTCTTTATCAGAAGGATTATCCTTGCCACATCCGGATAAATACTTCACTTTCTTCTATCTAAATATATACTTAAAGTTCTCATCTTTCACCAAGCATGCCGATACTGTCTGTTTTCTGTGACCAATAAAGCACAAACACACAGTTGGTCAAATAACGTATGATTAAAGTCCAAGCAAGTACTGTGAAAAGAGCGGCAATCTTCCACCAATCCTCTGTATCAGTAGCTTATAGCAATATGATTTATCTGTCAGTCGTTGGTTTACAATTGGTGAATGGGAATCGAAACAGCGTCTTTCCCTATTATTGAAGTTAGTTCTGGTGAGATTCAAATGGTCGGAACAGAATTACTATAGGTGATCACCATTGTCGGCTTTTAGGCATGGGGCACTGTAGATACTTCCATGGTGCCCTTTCGACTGAATTAGCTTCCAAACCTGAGCATTGAAGTTGCTTTATTGTTTTCAAACAGATAGCTTTTGCTAGAATTCTTCCCTTGCATCGTCCTAAGGGAAGTCGAACAGCGCGTCAACAGTGACTACAAATAAGCATCTACAACTATCATCGTCTCTTCCAGTTCCTACAGATCCATTCTATGGAAGCGTATTTGGTCGAGTTCTTCTTTTTCTCTACAATGTGGTGCTATAACCACACTTGTAAGTCTGTGACAGCTAGCCATTTAGTCCCTGGACACTCGGAAGTTTCTCAGACTCATCACAGTGACCAGATAAAGTTAAGCTGGAAAACATACTTGGATCCCGTATGACAATTTGCGAAATGCAGCATGCATCTGTGTCCGAAGATTCCACATTTTCGGCAGGTAAGGCATGTTGTTATTAGATTTGGAATAGGGTTAGGATGCCAAAGTCTTCAATGTGAAACTGAAAGTGTGGTTTTAGGAAACCAGTAGTTATGTTCTGCTGACTTGGATCGTTCGCAGTGGTCACAATGTGGGAAGTTAGGTAAATTACAAATGGATTAATCTTGATATCAGGAAGTAATGGCTAGGCAGGAGACGAAGATAAAGGAGGTAGGTTTTGGTTAGTTGGGTTTTCTTTGCTGTCAGAAACTTGCGGTCCGTCAGTACTTCCTCACTACTTCCACCATGAAAGTTATTCTATAACGCATATTGAGGAGGAAAGAGGATTATTATTAGTGTTACGTAACTGCAGAGCCCAGAAGACATATTTTTGAGGCCGGTAACACACAGCCTTTTTAAAAAGTTTGGATTAGGCTTCCTGCGTACTAACACCAGACAAAAAATGCAACAGAAGATCTTGAGTCTGGGAGGAATGTATTTGTTTTAGGGTTTAGTTTTATTTTATTTTTTTGTCATTTAGGTTCCCGGTGCAACATACGGCTTCAGTAGCACGTCGCCATTCCACTCTGTTCTCCACAGTCTTTCCGACATGGCTCCACAACTCCACACAAGCCTTCATTTCTCCCTCACACCATCTCCTCCATGTCAACCTCATCTGGGACGCCCAACTCGTCGTTTCCCATGCGGGTTCCACTCGACAACCTGGACTGACACGTGATGTCCCCAAACGGTCTCCTCAGTGTATGCCTAATCCATATCCACTTTATTCTGAATATTTGTTGGGTGATAGGTTGTTGGTTGGTTGGTTGCCAGCTCAGAGTTCCTCCTTGCTTATTCTTATTATTCTGGCCATCTGATTTGATCTTCAGTATCCAGTGAGTGTAGGCTGTAGATGTTGATGCATATCTGCAGTTTGTTGGAAATGCTTTGTGTAACGGATCAAGTCTCTCATCCATCACATGGAAGTACTGACTAGCTTGACTGAATTGGTGTTGAAAATCCGGATCTTGTTCACACTTTATGCTGAGTGCAGTACAGTGCAGTAGATCACCACACTGATTGATTTCAAGTTAATGAAGGCCTGTCTTGCTGTCTTTCCGATCCTGACCTTCACGTCCACATCTG